GAGGACTATACAATGAGAATACACAAACCACTGTTTTAATATAAAAACAAGTGATGATAATGGGCTTGAGGGTTCCCTTTGGGGTGATTAAAAAGTTATGAAACTAGACAGAGGTGATAGTTGCACACCACCATGCATGTACTAAATGCCACTGAATTATACATTTTAAAATGGTTAAAATAGAAAATTTTGTTATATATATTTTGCTACAATAAGATTAAATTTAAAAAAAAGGTAATGGGTCCTATTTGGCCCATGGGCCATAGTTTGCCAACCACTGTTCTAAAATATCCCCATGACAAGCCATGTAGTATAATGGTTAAAAGCAGTTTGTTACTAAACAACCTGGGTTCAACCACTGGCTCTGGCATTAAATCTATATCCTATGCAAGTTGCTTAACCTCACTGTGCCTCAGTTTCTTTATAAGTATAATACTAATACCTATCTAATATGGTTAAGGAATAAATGAGTTATATGGAAGTATATAGAGTGACTCCTGGAATATATAAGATTACAGTAAATTTTAGATATTATCATTACTTTTTAAAAATAACACCTTATGGAAAAAGAACTCTTGCATTTTTGGCTTTGGTGTGGACCAGTTACTTAGCTGTTTGTTAGGGCCAACCTACAGGTGCTGGTACAAACCTATCTCCAGCACTGCAGCAACTTTTTCTATCCCTACGTGAGGGAAAAAGCCAACCTGCATGCTAGTCATATATACAATAGGACCATGTGACAACTTGTGGTATTTTAAGGTTAACTGTAACCCAAAAGTATCTAAAACTCTGAGTAAATGTAACCACTTATTTTTATAACTTATTTTTACAATCATTTTAACTTTTATTCAGAATAGTTAAAAAGTCTAAGTTATGGAAGAATATTTATTTAAAAATTATTTTTAACCCTAATTTGCTAATGGGGAAACAAGCTTCACTGGACATTTCTGTCGAGAAAAGATATACCTTGCCTGAATGAAACAGTAATAAACAAAATGATGATGGAAGTGATTTAGAAACAATGATGACCAATAGTTCTTACTAGTTTTACTCAGAAACATGATTCCTCATCTTGAGTTCAGTTTTGGAGCCAAAATTGACAGTGAGAAGTGTTAAAATCCCAGTGTTTTAGGAATGCCAAAATCCAGTGTTTTGCAATTATGATGAATGAAACTATGAACATTCTTGAACAGTCCTCCTGGTACACATATTCAAGAGTTCCTCCAGGACACACACCAAGGAGTGGAGTTGCTGGCTCACAGGGAAATTGCATCTTTAGCTTCACTACCGTGTTTCCCCAAAAATAACACCTTACTGGAAAATAAGCCGTAGCATAATTTTTTGGGATGCTCATAATAGAAGCCCTACCCCAAACATAAGCCCCAGTTAAGATCATCAGCCAGACATGACTGTTTGAATAAATGTAGATTTTTGTACATGAATAAATGAATAAATGTAGATTGTTGCAGCAAAAATTAATATAAGGCCCCATCTTATTTTTGGGGAAACACAATAGATAATGCCAAATTGCCCAAATGATTGTACCAGTTATATACACTAACAGTACACAAGTTCCTGTACTCACAATCTCAATAGTTATTGATCAATTTTAATTTTTTGTCAATATGTAAAAGAATTTTTTTGTGGTTTTATTTCTCCATTTAAAAAATTAAGTATAATTTACATATAGCAAAATTCACCTTTTTTGGTATACAGTTCATATTTCCCACCTCCTTTCCTCTGGACTGAATTCAGAATAATTTCTTGAGACCTTTTTCTTCTAAATAAGGTTCACTAAGTCTGTCTTCAGCAGGATCTAATTTTAGTTCTCTTTTGTAGTTTTGTTTTTACAAATCTACTTATTTTTGTCTTACTCTTTACTCATATTTTCAACTGCAACATTTGTTTACATTTTGAACCAGATTAGTTCCACTTTCTTTAGTCTTTGCTGACCTGATTATGTTGATTCTGTTTGCTCTTTCTCAAGGTGTTTTGTTTCCTTGTGGATCATGTGATTTTTAACAGTGGTTTTGGGTTTTGCAATTTTATGCATGGGACTTCTTTGAGGGCTGGATTAACAATCTGAGAAGGACCCCTAGAGTTACATTGTCCATTATAGTAGTCACTAGTCACATGTGGCTATTTATTAAAATTAAATTTAAAATTCTGTTCCTCAAACTAACCAAATTTTAAGTGCTCTAGAGCCACATGTATCAAGAGGCCACTATACTGGATAATGCATATATAGAACATTTCCATTAACTGCAGATATTGTTGCACAGCTTTGCTCTAGAGATCTTTGTTTTTCCTCCTGCCAGGTACCAATAGGCATTGCCAACCTGGGAAACCACTTTAAATAGAATTCTTAGTTTGACAGGTATTTTTGAACCATGCATGTGGTATGAAATTGGGCTGCAAAGATGAGTAAAGCCTAGCTTGAGACTATGAATTCTCAGGGGAGATTGTGTGTCGCAGTACTGTTGCTGTAGGTTTGGAGATATCCATGGATAACAGATTCTATTCCTCTGCTCAGATGATGAGAGTAGTGTTGAAATCACCAGATCAGCTTCAGAAAGCCCCTGTGTGCTGAGTGAACCACCACCTCTGGTCTTACCTCGAGTGCCACAGTCTAAGGTGCTGTCCATCACCTCAAATCCGGTAAGCCCCACAGGGGACTATATGGGAGGACCTAGGGCTGCTCTTGCCAGAGGAAGTTTGCTCTGTATTATTTGCCTTAATTGTATCATTTATGACTTTTTGTTGTTGTTACGTTACGTGTTTGTCACAATAAGCCAGTTACTCTATGTATTGACAAATTTGTTTAAAAAATTAATAGCAAATTAAGGTTGGAAACTTATTCTTAATCAGCTCTTTTGAAAGGTATCTATAAGCGATGCAATCTAGAATTAACTATGTGGTCAGCCTAATCCTGTTCTGGGAAGAATGATGTGATGAAAAGAGGGACCAAATCTCAGATTTTTTTATGGTCTTAACATTCTGTCCTTTGAATTTCTTTTTGACTTCCTCCTGTTTTTCCCCTCTTATCTCTTCCTCCCTGGTTTTTGTTTTTTTTGGTATTTGAATCTGTTGATTTTTTTGCCTTTTGGATGTTCAGTACTCATAACCCAGGTGTAAAAGGCAGTTTTACGAGAGAGAGAGAAATAGTCTCAATTAAGTCTTTGGGCAAATATAAAGATGGCTATTTCTTGCAGAAAGTTGGTGACCCTGCTGATGAGCCTGGTCTCATCCCTGTGTAATGATTTATGTAGTACCAGTTCCTAAATAATAGTTTCCCAGTGTTACTTGTGACAAGAGTTGGGGGTGGGGGGCTGTAGTAGGGAAGGAGAAAAAGAAAAGGGACTCTAATTCTTGGGCCATGCTCATGTGGGTTTTACTACCACATCTAGTATTTGCCTTGTTGGTATACTGGCCAGATATTGTGCAGCTGGATTTATAAAAAGATTATTTAAAAATAAAATCAGCCAGGCCCATACCTTATCACATTAAAGGATGAACTAGGTGAACTAATGTTCCTTTGGTTGTAATAAAAAACTTCTACATGATGAACTGGTTTGGCTATGATGTAGGAAACCTAAGCCCTGAGCAGTTGAATGGTTCTGGTTGTTAATGACAAAAGGAAGAAGTGTTAATCCATTCTGCAGAGAAAAGCAGGAGAGAAATGCATGGCAAAAGAGATGGCCAAATTGATGACCTGAGAGAGAAAAGACACAGGACTCTGAGGTGGTGATGTCAGTGCAAGGAGGATTAAATACTGCTATTATAACATTAGAACAAGGAAGATTAGCTCCTTCTGATAAACAGTATTCAGAATCTAGGTTATCACTGAGCGCTGACTACTCCAGCAATAGTGAAGGAGAAAGGATTAGCTTGTGTCGAGTGTAGGAATGTGATGGTAAAAGAGATTGTTAATTTTTTTCTATTTTTGTTCCTTTTTTTCTTTTTAGGGTTTCTTTTCTAATGTAAATAATAGTAAGGGTCCTCTCTCCCCTATGACAGTGGCTAAGTGGTTTCATCGAGGTTGATCAGGCTCCCCTCACCTGCTGTCATTTAGGAAAGGACAGGAAAGGACTATGACCTGTCATCTTGACAGGGCACTTGGGGCCCCAGCTGAGCTATTGACCAAGATATTACAAAAGTTAAGGAATAGGAGAAAAATGTATAAATGACCTAATTTGGAAATAATCACTTTTGGCAAAGTTGGGAAACTAAGCAGGTATCTCCATCAAGCAATAATGAGTAATATCTTCTTTTAACATGTAGATGAGTTTCTGTCAAGCAGCAAGTGGTCATCAGCCAAATGTGAATGGTCTCTTGGTTCATGGGATGCCTCTACACCCAAGAAATGTCTCCCTAATGGACAAACTCCTGTAAGAAGTATAAAATTTTAAGACTATAAAGCAGATCACTGAGAAAAGAAAAGTCAATCAACATGCATGTATTGAGTAGCTACCAAGCAAACACAGAAACATGGGGAGTAAAAACTTCTAAGGAGAAGAGCAGCAAGCTAGGTAGGAGAAATGGTGTGGGAAAAGGTTTGGAGACAGAAAAATACAAAGTATTTAGAAGAGAAAGACCTTTTTTGCTATGGTAGGAAAGAAGATAGGTCAGAACTTTAATGCTGCTAACCAAAGATTATTGACAATCTTTTAGAATTAACATAGGCCATGGTATGATTAGTGGGAAAGAGACTATGATATTAATGAAGGTTGAGACCAGACTGTGGAGGGTATTGAATGCCATGTTTTTGAGATCCATCCATGTTGTTGCATGTTACCTTTTATTTTATTGCCAAGTAGCATTCTATTCTGAGCTTATACAATTTGTTTATCCATTCTTCTGTTAGGCTGTTTCCAGGTTAGGGCAGTTTGCATAAAGGCACTATAAATATTCTTCCTCAGGTCTTTTTTTGTGGACCAGTGGTCTCATTTTCTTGGATCATTATCTAGAAGTGAACCTGCCATACAGTTGTCCAAAGTAATTGTACCATTTTACATTCCCACCAGCAAGGTATGAGTTTCAGTTGGGGAGAACATGTATTTAAATCAGGAATTCGAAAGACATATTTCACAGCAGTAGAACATAGATTGGAATGAAGCGGGAGAAACTGAAGGTGAGGAATCTAACGCAGGAATTCAAGCATGAGCTCCTAAGGTCTGCCCTCAAGTTGTAGCAAAGGATGAGAAATGAATGAAATATATTAGGAGATATAAAAGAGATCATTCTATAAAAATAGAGGACTAACAGTCAACTCTGAGATTTCAAACTCAAGGGAAGCTTTTTGGGGCAGGGGGAAGATGAGCTTGGTTTGGGGCATGTTGAGTTTACAATGATGGGCCATCTTGTGGGAAATATGGAAGAGGTCAGATTTGGCAGTTGATCTCTAGATCACTTGGCTAAAGGTGAATCTAGAATTATGAATGAGTAGTCCAGAGGGCAAAATAAAGATTAGTATACTGTAGCTAAGGCCTAAACCTTCTGTAATTAGAACGCAGGGCATGTAAAGAAAAATGTGTTAAGTGAATGAGGCGGGAAGACCAGAAAGATCTCGTAATGCTCAAGGCTTAGCCCTGTTCCTTGATGGGCACTTTCCCTTCAAAGGCCTCCAAACACTGAGGTATATTTTGTACTTGAGGACACCAACGTGTCCTGAAAGGTTGAGAAACTTGCTGAAAGCCAAAGAGCACATGGTAGAACTTTATGCTTTCACTTTCCCTTCATTTCATTGTACAAATACTGCCTCTTAGGTAGGTGCCTTACAGTACATTCTCTCATCTGCTTCAAAAATAAAAACAAAAAAAAATGCTGAATCTGTAGGGCAGAGTTTAAGCTACTGTTTGGGCAAGGTGTTTTATTTATCAAAGTATGCACATCAAAGTGTTCTATTTCAGTTGTTTATGCAAGTGAGGATCTACTGTGATCCTGCTGCCATAGGCAGCACAGGGCTCTGGACCCTTTGCTGCTCCCAGCTTTCCAAGGAACCCAAATCCCTACCCCTGCAGGCTCCAAAGAGCTCAGCATTTTCATCTCTGCAGTGGGAGCCAGATTGAGGCCACACTGCTCCCAAGCAATATTGCCTTTTAACTAGGTCTTCCTGGTGATATTCCTTCAGCAGAAAAGAATGCCTCAGATATGGTAGGAATTTCAGGCCCTGAGGTAAACTTTTGGGAAGCACTTCAGAGAACGTACCCTTCAGGATAGCATTCACTGGTAACTGAAAAAGTCACTGGGGTGGCAGGTGAATAAGGGACTTGATTTCCCAAATCTCCATTCTAGTAAATTATGTGTATGACTGAAATGTCCATCTTTTAAGAACACATTCTCATGCCTGAGCTAGATTACATAACTTATAGAAACGAGTCTACTTATTGAATGGTTTCTACTTTTGTTTTCTACCTTGAATATGTTTTATAGTCTAAGGCTTTTTACCCTTTTGAGTCCTATCTCCCAGTACACAGCAATCTTGATTTCACTGTGGGTTTCTGATTTGGCCATTAGAGATCTTGATGACAAGCTACTTACAAGGCCTGGGTCCAGTACCATCCTTTCAACCCGAAATTGGTCACATCGAGCCATGGAGCTTTGTACATCATCTCTGTCATATACAGTGCAGCCCACCAGGAGACGCAACCCCCCACCACGTACCCTTCATCCCATCAGCACAAGCCATTCACGCGCTGGAACGCCAAGACCTGCGGAAGAAATCTTCAGAGGTTCCCGACTGTAGGTTTCAAAAGAGAATTTCTGGAAACGGTGTTAAAACTAAGAATTTTACATATACAATGAATTTAAGTATAAGATTGAAATATATGCCTAGAAACTAATCATTACATATTTTTATGATGGATTGCACTCTGGTTTAAATCTACTACAGAAAAAAAAATGAATTTAAATTTCAATTAAATACAGATACTATTGGCTAGAATACTTCAGTGACACTTATCAAAGGAATAAAAGATCTATGTATTTTATTAAACATTTTCCTTAGTGGGAACATGCTCAGTGAAATTCATCCCCAAATAATAGTTAATTCTCCTTTAATACTTTTTTGTACCTTTGGGAACTGCTTATTCCATTCACAATGAAAACTTCATAAACCTCATAGTTGTTTATATACCAGGAAAAATATTCCTTAGAACTTCTTAGGAAATAAGACTCAATACATTCTCTTCCTTTTTTTCACCTTGCATTTACTAGACACTCTGAGCCCCATTGTACAAAAAAATAACCCAGGAACCAATTTTTTTTTTCTTTTTAAGATTTTACTGGGGAATTGGGGAAGGGGAATGGACAAGTTGCTGTCCTTTTGCTCTTCAGTCTAGTTGTGGAGGACGTCGCTTCACTGGTCCAAATTGGTATTATCATTGCACTCTTCCCAGGTGAGGCAGTCCATCACCGGCCATTGGACGGCCACTCACAGTAGCTCACGGCAGCCCACTGCAGCGTATGCCTTGCCGGTGACTCACAGCAGCCCAGCTCCAGGTCGAGCTGTTGTTCATCATCTTAGCTGTAGAGGGCACAGCGTCACTGGCCCTCATGTGGGATCCGAACCGGGGCCCTGATGCTCAAAGCTGGCGTCTCAAGCCAACTCTTAACCAATGCGCCACTCGGCCGGCCCGGAACCAATTTATTAAGTAAAATTCTTTCACTAGATGATTTACAAAACATCTTAGGATGACAAACTATGCTGTACGCCTGAAACTAATATAAAATAATATTGAATGTCAACTGTAACTGAAAAAATATAATTTAAAAAATCTTAGGAAGGTCGATATCTAAAACTATGATCAAGGATATGAGATAAGACCGTAATTGTTTTCAGTTCAGCTTCTGAATTAAGCACGTCACTATACTTCTCTCCCAACATGTTATTTCTTGATTTTGATTTTTCAATTTCTTGTTATAATTTATCCCAATAGACTCACCAAAAGAGATGTCCGAAAGCAGCAAAAATCTCTGTCAGGACAGTAGGGTTCACCTCACCTGCTCATTATGTTGCTGTATCTCTATGTATACCGATATAGCTATAGATACATTCATTCATTTGGGGATAAGTGGTCATAATCAATCTATCATCCCTTCTGACAGTTCTTTTTTCAAAGTGGAAAAATAAATTGCTTTGTTTCTTCTGGGATATGAAAGTAGCATTCAGTTTCAATTACTGTTTTGAGTATGAAACTGCTCCAAATTCTACAGAAGAAAATGAAAGTTCCTGGGAATTATAGTGATTAGTGAAAAGGACAACCAGAAGGCCAGAGAAATGGAGAATTCCATCAGATGTGAAATTACAAATCCACTACTGGTAGCGAAGTGCAGCCCCAGGCAGGGAAAATTGTTTTATGCCAGTTGTGTGAGAGAAAAGGTCAACTTCTGCTGTGTGTCCAGGATAAAGTTTCAACAAAAATCATAAAATACTATGAAAAAACCAGAAACTCTAGTTTTCCAAAATCCTGAGAGCTCTTTAAAAACTTCAGCAGCTTTAAGCTTTCTGTGCATGACATTAAGCTCATCTGCTTCATTTATTTGATTCTAATCAGTTTGCTTGTATTGTTATAACTATGTTTTTATGTCTTGGTGTTCACTGGTGGGATCTGCAGCCCTGTGGCAGCCGACTCGCTCTCTTCTCCCTCACCAATGCCCCTGAGTCGAAATAATCTGCTGCCCCCTATTGGCACAGCTGAAGTGGAACACCTGAGAACTGTAGGGCCACAAAGGCAAACGGTATGTCTTTCCTATTTCTATTGCCTTCCCATGTGCTTATAAAACTTCCTGGGAAGGAACTCTGCAGGAGCTGTGCTCAGGGCTTAATTTATACTATATTTTGTCAAAATTACATACTAAATTCTATTTCTGACAATGGAATTGGAGGTGCTTGGCCTGCAGTTACCATGCCTGCAAGGGTTGATATAGGACACGCGCAGCTACCACTACAAATTGTTTTACCTGTTTCTGTCATCCTGTCTCCTCCACAGAAAAGCCATGGCAATACCAATCGAGCTCGAAGTGCAGTGGTAGATGAGCCTAACCATCAGCAGCCCCAGGAAAGGCTCCTTTTACCTGACTTTTTCTCCAGGCCCAACACAACTCAGTCATTTTTGGTAAAGTAACGTATTTCCTCTAGGGTCTTGATAGTTT